GGGGCTCTGAGCAACCTGATCTAGTTAGCAGTGTCCCTGCTCACTGCAGGGAGGTTGGACTAGGTGACCACTAGTGGTCCCTTCCAACCCTAAACATTCTATGATTCTATGATTCACATGAGCGGTGTGTGCATATGCGTATCGTAGCTTAATTTTTGCATCATTATAGACGATTGCAGCACGTAATTGAGGCCTGATCTTCCCTTGGTGTCTTCTGCTGTGGGCCTCGGGCAGTCGAGACCCTGGGGTAAGGCGGGACCGGAGCTCAGCCGTGAGCAATCTTTCCTAAGGATTTTTTAAAACGCTGACGTTTGTGTAGTTTCCTTCAGCCTTTACGCGTGCTGTGCCCAAAGAATTTTTTTCCACTGAATCGGGAAAAAAAAGCAGTTGCTCTATAGAGGCTTGGTTCATTTTGCATTAGTAATGTGAATAGGTTGGCAATTTTCTTTTGAATGAATCCTCTTTCTGTTTCCCAAATTGAGAAGAACAAGGAAAAGTGAATTCTTACATTTTAATAAAATTAGTAAGTTCTATTATTTATTGCTGTTTTCTGTCTGTTACCTGCTTAGTGCTTGGGTGCCACGAGAGTCAGCTTGTCTTCAGCCCTGAACTGATCTCACCTGCAGCAGTAGGCTCTTATTTGTATGCAGCGTAGGTTTTGCAGAGAATGTGATAATTACAGACACTTCATAAGATGGAGATTTAGCTGCATTTTTTCTGGCTCTTGCACCCCTGTAGTTTGACTAATTCACTCAGTCCCCGTTCTAACCTGATGAGAAAGTTCTAAGACTGTTTCAGAGCAAGTCAGTGTGGCTGCCCTTCTGCAGGAGTCATTTGAAGAATAACGTCTATAAGTTGGCTGTAAATATGTCTTAGATGCCTGTTAAATTGCTAAAGCAATCTCTGTGCTTTGCAGGTTCTCCGGGCCTGTAATCAGGTCTATTTGTGAGGACGATCCTTCCCCGATAACCTTGGGTTGTGGGCCAGGCTCCATCTTTGCTCGTGGCTCACGCCTGCCAGGTAGCACCGTCCATTCCTTGGTGTGGCACGTCCTCATCTGCTGCCCTGCGTGGGTGACAGGCTGCAGGGCAGGGGCCCTGAGGGAAGGCGTTTTGCTGGTGGCAGCATCAGTTCTGTGTGAAGAGCTCTATTCAGCTCTGTAGAAAACTACCCAAGCCACTTTTTTTGATTATTTAGCTTGTATGAACACGTGTGTGTTTGGTCAGGCCCTGTAGTGTTATGTGTGCGCACAGATCATGAAGCACATGGGTACTGATGGATGAAAAGCTAGACATGAGCTGGCAATGTGCGCTGGCAGCCCAGAAGGCCAACCGTACTCTGGGCTGCATCAGGAGAAGCGTGG